CCCCCTCCTGCAGGCAGTGCCAGCGAGACGCTGCCCTGTGGCAATCGCTGCACCTGGACCAGAGCGTGTCCCTGGACGAGCTCTTGAACATCAGCCAGGTGAGCGCAGGGGTGCCGGGGTCCAGGGGGACAGAGCTGGGGGCAGAGGGCTGGCACTGGGGGGGACAGTGAGGGGCTGGCACTGTGCCCCATCATGGCTCCCCTCGCCCTGGCAGTACACAGGAGAGATCTCCATGGCCTTTGAGAAGATGAACATCACCCTGAGCCCCATCTCGCTGCTCAGCCAGAGCCAGAGAGACTTGCTGCTGAATGCCAGCCAGGCCGGGCAGGCCCCCGACTTCACCCCCACCCTGGAGCAGGTGGGTTGGGGGCAGCCTGCTGTTGGAATGGGGGGTCTGGATGCGCATTGAGGGGGTCCGTTGCCCCCTCCCCTTTGCTGCTGTGGGAGTCCCACTGCAGGCTCCAAAGGTGTCCCCTGCCATCCATGTCACCCCTTGGGGCAACTGGGCACCTCCTCCACCCGGGAGGCCCTGGCTCCACTCTGCCCCACGGGGATGGGGTATGGACCCCCGTCAGCCCTGTGTCCCCAGTCTCATGGCTCTGTCTCCGCCTTTTCCAGCTGGATCAGAACGTGACCCAGGGAAGCCTCCTGGATCTGGCTGCAGAGCTGGAGCAGCTGGCAGACAAAGCGGTGAGAGACCACAGCATGCTCAGGCCACAGCCACACTGTTCCCAAAGCCACCGGCTGCGGGGGCTCCTCTGCAGACCTGCCTGGGTGCTGAGGGGAGGCGAGGCCCCCCATCAGATGGCTGTGGTGGGGCAGGGACCCCGTGCCGGGGGGCACCGCTGACTGCAGCTCCTCCAGGGCGCGGATGTGAAAGAGGACCTGAAGGCTGACGCTCGCAAGCTGAGGGAGCTGGACAAGGAGATGCAAACGAGCTTCTCTGGGCCACTGGTGAGTGATGCCAGGGTGGGGAAGGTTCTAGGGGTGCTGGCTTGGGCTCCTCCAGAGCTCGGAGCCTGCTGGCAGGGTCTCGGCTGAGCCATGGGGTCTGCACCTCTGATTCCCCTCTCTTCATCCCCAGCAAAGCCTGAAGGAGAACATCCACTTGGTGCAGAGCGGGGCTGCCCAGCTTGAGGTAAGCTGCACAAGGGGGCCTCCCAAGTGCACCCCAGTCCGGGGCAGCCTGCACAGCGCCCTTGAGGTCCCACAGTGGAGATGGTGGGGGCTAACCTGCAGGCTGGGGGGCTGCTGTGGGAATCCCCAAGCACGCATTGTAGGGGCTCCTCATGAGGCAGAGGGAGGGGTCCCACGCCACGGATGCTGCCGGGCACAGGCTCCCTCCACCCGAGGTACTCGGGCATTACCATTGTGTGACTGCTGGGGACACCACAGCTCAGAGATGCTGTGCCCCAGGGATTGCTGCTGGGCAGGGTGGGGGAGGTGCGGGGACCCCACTTCCCCCATCACACTGCTGAGAGCATCTTTCACCCCAGGCACAGACAAAAGCTGCGCTGGACAAAGCCAGCAAAACCCAGGAGTTCCTGGAGAGGGAGACGGCAAACATCATCAAGAATGTGAGCTTGCCTTGCCCTGCTGCCGGGCACCCAGTGGGGATGCGACCGGACCCCCACACCAAGACCTCCCTCTGCGCAGGGGTGCCAAGCGATGTCTGGCTGCTCTTCCTGCCCTGTCATCTTCCCCAGGGGTCCCCTGCACCCCTGGGTGCCCCCTCCCCTTATGGCACCCCAGGCAAGGGACTGGAGCGGGGTGGGGCTTGTAGCCCCATTGCTGCTGCGTGGAGATGGTCTGACAGCTCTGATCCTGACATGGAGGGGACATGGGGCATGGAGTGGGCTGGGGGTGCAGCATCTCCATTCTCTGCTTGCCCCCCACAGGAGACGTGGGCCTTCCTGGAGGAGCTGTTGGACTTCTTTGAGACCTACATCTCCTGGGCCAAGAGCAGGGTGAGTTGAGCCTTCCTTGGTGGGGTGGAGGGAAGGGGAGGGGAGGCTGCAGGGTCCCCCCAGGGGACACTGACATGCCTTGTCCCCACCATGTCCCTAGCTGACGGAAGACGTGGCACGTTGCAAGCCCATAGCTCAGACCCTGGATAATGTGGAAGTCATCACCTGCAACTACATCCTGGACTCTCTGGTGAGTGGGGCAGCGGTGTGTGGAGTGAGATGTGTGTGGGGGGTGGCAATGAGGTCCCCTTGACCCCTTCCATACAGGATGAGGGGTGCCCATCTCTGTCCCGAGCAAGCAGGGCTCAGCATCTCCCTGGCGCATTGCTGTGGCTAAGAGCAAAGGCCAGGCTGCAAGAAGGGGTGGGTGGG